TACGGTACAAGGAAGATTCAATGAAATTTACTGAAATAGTCAAAATTTCGAACTACCCCTCCATCTTATGACCTGTTCTCAAGAAAACCCATAAAAAGTACATAATTAGTAATTACCATAATATTAATTCATATAAAAAAAATTTAAAAGCCAGCCTTCCAAATAAAGGAACAAGGGAAACAAGAAATGCCCTCAGGTGTTTTGCGTCGGGTATGATCACACAATATTAAGCTACAGTAGTAGCAAACGAAAATCCGACAAGCAAACTAGATTACTCAAAGTGTTTTTCTTAGCGAAAGGGTAGGAACGGTAATCCGGGATGCATTCTCAGCTGTAGGCAATCTTCAGTTTTTTTCCTACACTGCTCCAAAATTCCAGATCCAAGATAAATTTGATTCCATAGAAGATTGGGATTACATTCTGGTGGGTCTAGTTGTTAGGTTCAATGTCACTCGTCGATGTTTCTGTCAGTGGATCGACTGTATGCTTTGCTCCATCCGGATGGTCGTTTGATGAGACATTTGTTTCATTTGTCTCATCCCCCCGATCATTTTCAATGCAAATGGCGTTTGCTAGAGAATTCTCTCCAGATTTACTGCATTTACTAGTTCCAATTTTGGATATGAAGGCAGAAGTTTTAGCTATTAGAAGGCTATACTTGGTACATAGTAATTCAAGAATTAATGAATAACCTATTTCAAAATTTTATAGAACTTCAAAAGCAAAACAACCTTTTAGACGAGGAGGTGTCAAGTTCTCGCTCTGTCGATGATCCTGCCTTCCGTTTTTCTATCTTCTTTCTTTTATTCCTGCTCAAGTTTAGAAAAAAATGTAAATAAATAATTTCTTCCAAGTTTGTTAGATTATCTATTCGTTAGAGGCAGGGGGGAAATCAGAGAGGATGACTGGAGAAAACAAAATGAAGAACTGAAGAGGTTTCTACAAGAAATTAAGCTTCAATAGATTTTCTTCCTCGTTACTTTTCCTCTTTTCTTGACAGGTTGAGAACTCAAAATTAAATTATTTAAGGTATTCATTTTTTGAATAAAAAATTATTGAAGAAAAAATTATTGAACTATTCACAGTATGAAGGAAAATCCTAGAACCTGAAATAAATATTGTTAAAGTGCTACACTTGATGGAGAGGACTAACAAATGCACCAAGAACATGTGTGGCTAAGCGTAATTTTAATTTTCAAACATCTTAGGATTTTTT